TGGAAGAGATCTATATTTCTTCCCATTCCAAAGAAAGGTGACCCAACTGAGTGTGATTTTAAGTATAGATTCTCTTTAATTGATAATAGGATTATTTCAGTTTTCTATTTTACTGTACTATGGTGTGATGCGATTTTTTTTTCCAGATATTTTTTCCATTTCCTCTAAATATAAAATTATATTCAAGTTATATATCATTCATAATAATCGTCTTTTTACTAATGCATATATATAAAAATTTATTTCTTTTTCATTTCTTATGTTAGCTATTTGTGTTCGCCCTCTCCATACCCCCTCAAAATAATGAGCCCAGAACCAGTATTTGTATTTTCATTTGCTGGGTTTTTAAATTAATCTGTTTCCTGTATCATTGATTTCTGTTTTAATTTTCTTCCTTATACTTTTCTCTTTGTTTAATTTTCTATTTGTTGGTGATTTTTTTTAACCTTCTTTAGATGTGTAAATACTTAATTTTCATCCTTTGTTCCATTCATGTTGAATTCCAATCTTAATCAGAACATTTTATTTTTAGAACTTTTGTCCCATGGCTATTTATAAGTTCATTGTTTCAGTTTAAAATATTTTTAAAGATTTTTATTTCTAGCTTAATTCCATTGTGATTAGAGAATTATACTTTGTGATTTTAAGTCCTTGGAATAAGTTATCACTTGAAATACAGCTCAGCATACATGATCAGTATGTTCCATTTGCACTTCTAAGGGGCAGTTAATGGAGTAGTTGTATTCTGTAGGTATGAGGTCATATTTGTTAATTAGAATTGTTGGGGGGTTTTTATCAGTAATGAATAAGATCACTCTGTCTCCTCAAAACAACATACAGCTAACATTGTGAAGAATAGCAATCTGAGAACACTTAATTGTGCTCATATGAAACCTAGACCAGGACTAAGAGGCGATTGTGTAAACAGAACAAGGGAAGGTTTGATGGTTTAATGTCAAGAAAGCGTGCGTTCAAGATTGTATCTTCTCTCCATACATGTTCAGTCTGTATGGTGAGCAAATCGTTTGAGAACGCCAACTTTATAAAGAGAAATGTGGCATCAGTATTGGAGGAAGATTCATAAATAACTTGGGTTTTGCAGATGATAAAACCTGGCTAAAAGTGTAGAACTTCAAAGTTCAAGGACTCAGTCCTTTATTATTAATTACATCTCAATATCAAGAAAACAAAAATCTCCACCACTGGGCCACTAGACAACATCATAGTAGATAGAGAAAAGGTTGACGTTTTCAACACTTTCATCTTCTTAGAGCCATAGTCAGCACCCTTGGTACCAGGAGGCAAGAGATCAGGAGACATGTTGTGTTGAAAAAGTCCTGCTCTTAAGAACATCTCCAAAGTTCTAAGGAGCATGATGTTAAATCAAAGACTAAGGTGCACCTGTCCCAAACTATGGTCTTTTCAGTTACTTGGCTAGGAGTCTGAAAGTTGGGCAGTGAATAAAGATGATAGAAGAACTTAGGCTGTTGAGTTGTGTTGGAGAAGAGTACCGAATATCCCCCAGACTGCCAGGAGAACAAATTAGTATGTCCTGAAGAAAGTGTGGTCATGGTGCTCCTTGGAAGCAAGTATCTCACATACTTTGGGTATTTTTGTGAGGAAGGCCAGTCCTTGGGAAAGGATATTGTGTTTGGAAAGGTGGAGGGTCAGTGAAAGAGAGGAAGACCCTAAGGCAGGTGGATTGACATAGTGTAACAGTGGGCTCACATATATCAGAGATGGTGAGAATGCCAGGATAAGGCAAAGTTCAGATCTGTTGTTCATAGGTTTATGATAAATTGTACCCAACTCAGAGTGCACCTAACAGCATCTGCTTAAAGCCAGTCTGTTTGTACTTAGCCTTCATTCATTTTCAGGACATCAGCCCCCTATGCATTATAAAATCATCCTTCTTCCATGACAGAACCTCACTTCAAATTTTTCACTCTTTAGTAATGTGAGATTTCGTGTTTGGCTTTATGATTTCTTAGGAGTTGCTTGCTGTTTGGTGTCTTGGACTCTTAGTGCAGACATTACTAAGTTTGATTTGAAAGCCTAACAATATATATTGGGTTTTAAAATTTGTTTTCAGAGGTACATAGAGATGATATTCTCTGCTTTTATTTATACAACAGTAACACTAATTTTTTTTTTTTCTCTTTCCAGAAAATGGTGTAAATGGAACAGTAACTTCAAACGGAGCAGACTCTCCCCGTAATAGAAAAGACAAATCTTCATAATGAGTCAGAACCTAATTGATTAGTGTCCCCAAAGAAATACGCTTTTTGCTATAGATTTTTCTTCTTAAAAAATATAATTTGTGCTCTTGGATTCTTGCTGTCGTACTGTTTCATGGTTTGGTTTTTTGTGTTTTTTTTGTGGTTTTTGTTTTGTTTTCCAGGGCATTTGAGGGGAAGATGATTACAGTGTGTGGGAAGATGTTTTAGCCTAGACTAAGCTACCTGCCTTCAGAATAGTTTAGGGACCACCATCGTATTTTGTTATGTCTCTTACCTTTAAACATTTTTCTAATGATTTAGAGAAATAACTATTTACAAAATGCCACCAATCAGTGATAGAATTTCTTGCTCTCACCAGTTTTTTAATAATATAGCAAGGTGGCCTGTTCCAGCAAGGTCGTATTTTTTAAGTTATCTTTCAGGGTAAAATGGAAATATTACAAAGTTAGAAGTCACCCTTTAATATGTTTTCAGTGTTCTGTAATTTTTAGAAACTTTTTGTAGCATTTACACTTAGAGGGGGGAAATTTGTAAAATCACCAAAATAATTGTGTGTTTTATTTTATAGATAGTGATTGTTAGTGTTATAAAGTACACACCCTCCTGCTTTTTTCCCCCAAAAAAAGACGATACATGCTAATGGTAACATGTGACAGTTTGTTGCCATATATATTGAATCAAATTATATTAACATAAAAGTACTCATGAAGAAGTACAATTTTAAACACGTGTAAACTGGAATTTAGAAAATTATTTACTTTAAAGAGAAAAATCTGACTTACACGTGTAGCCCTCTTTATCTGTTGATGGTTCTTAACAGGGCTTGTCATAAAGTGTGATGTGCATAGCATTGTAGAAAAATGCTGTTTAACCTGCAAAAACCTTTTTAAAAATAATGCCTACTTGATTTATATCACTATGAAAAATGTCAAATAATTGTATTTAGGAAACATTTAATGCACTAACCTTAAATTTAATATTCAGGTTGACAAATACCGTATGAAAGACAGTGCTTTATGTTCCAACTCTAGCTTTGATCCCATCTTATTGAGAAACATTTATCTATATAAAGCATATTTTTTGATAAATATATATATATATATATTTGTATCTCTACAGAAAGGTTCTGAAAAGCATTTGAGTAAAATATTTGGTTCCCTTTTCTATAATTCTTTGAAGTCTTTAGAGCTGTTTTTGAGTTTCCTTTGTAGAACATATTTGCTCCTTCTGGTATTCACATCTTGTTCCCCATTTCTCACTTTTGTCACCAGCTATGTTTGTGCCATTTTTAGTGTAAAAGTTAACAGACCTATTAGGTCTGTGGTTTAAATAAGTCACCATGCTGCTAGAAAGTCGTGCTTTAGATTTCCAGCTGTTTACTTATGTTCTGGAAAAATTAGTAGCTCTCTGTAGCATTATGAAATTTCAGTGGAGCCACATTTTTGTCATTCAAAGCTGGTATTAAACTTATACATTGAGAAATCAATCAAAATAAAAATTTTTACTTTCACAAGCTGCGTTCTGAATGTTTCCTTCTTGTTTCATACCCTTAAGTCAGAACTGATTCATAGCTGACCCTTCACCAAGTTTTCAGAGACTGTTAACTGCACAGGAGGAAACTGCTCATCTTTCTCCTGCAAAGCTGCTGGTGGATTGGAACTGATTTGCCCTGGAATTGGCAGCACAGCTTCTTACCTGTGTTTCCTTAGTGTCACAAAATTGATATGCTCTTAGTATTTAATCTCCTTAAATGTGCCATATTTAAAGAGTACCCTCTACAGAGACATGGAGAACAGCCTTTTTCAAAAAAGTATTTCCCAAGTAAAACTGAAAATATTAGTTACATAGAATAATTGAAAAGTTGCAAAGAGGGAAATAGTTTGTGACCAAGTAAAATTTGTGGATCACTGGGTTAAACAAACTTAATAGCACTTCCTTATTCCAGGCCTGCTCAGCCCTTAATATGCAAGTCTGCTTTATGATGCACCAAGAATGCTGGGAAGTGTAATGTTGAATTTCCCAACTCATCCACTGTGAAACTTTAATAGCTTACAGCACTTAACGTAGAATACACTCTGAGCATAGAAAGGATGCTTTTTAAATCTTGATTTGTAGTTAGAACTTTATAGAATGTGTGTGCACGTACACAGATTTTACTGCAGATAATAAAGTCTAGGTGCCTACCACCAGTGCCCTGAGAAAGACCATTTTAGTGTTCTCCAATCCCATGAGGATTTGTCTTTAAAAAGTTTTATGTCTGCTGCTGAGACATGTCTGAAGCTGGACCACAACAACTACTGTCAGTTCTGTCTTAAGACTGTTCATATCCTTACATGACTTTGGAGTAGTTTTACTGGTCCAGTGGTTTCCCCTCTGTGAATGCCACAGTACTGAAGAGAGCAGTGATGTCGCTGTAGAGACTACGGTGCATCTGATCCAGGCCATGGTCTTCTCAATTATGCATCAGAGAGCTGGTCAGTGACTTAGGATGACAGAAGAATCATCAATGTTTTTGGGTTGTGGTATTGGAGAAGAGTATTGATCATACCGTGAACTGCAAAGAGAACAAACATGTCTGTCTTGGGGAGGGTAAAATCAATTGTCTCCTTGAAAATTAGGATTTCTCTGTCTCATACTTTGGGCATGTTGTCAGGAGGTATCAATCCATGGAGGAGGATGTCATGCTTGGAGGTGGAGGGACAGCACAGGAGAGGAAAACCCTGGATGAGATGGATTGACTCTCTAACTGGGGTAGTGTGGGTAGGTGTGTTGGAGTCAGTGAGAATGGATCAGAATAGAGCAGAGTTCAGAGCTGTTGTACATAGATAGGGTCACTATGAGTTGCAGGAATCTCGGCAGCACATAACAACCACCTGCATTTCAGAATATAATTATGAGTAGTTAAGATACACTGTTCTGCGGGGAGAGGGAGGATAATTACAATTTTCCAAAGTAAAGCAATCTTACAAAGGCTTTATGTCAAGAACTAATCCTGAGACAAAGCTTGTGTGCATTAGGAAATGGACGGAGAACAACTTTTGCTGTACACTAATTGTTAGGTAAGGTGTAATGGCACCCACATCTATCTCCACGGTGTCAAATGGTTTCACAGGAATCTTGTTCTAGTGTCAATACAGGAGCAACAAAAAGTGAGAGTAACTGCAACAAAATTCAAAGGGATGATGTTTAAACAGGTGAGGTTGGTCTGTTCCCCTCCCCCCGCCCCCCAGATCTGATGAGTAATTAAGAACTATCCATAAACCATAAGGCAGTTTTAGGTATTTCAGAGCAGAGGTAACAAGGTTTGGGAGGAGGAATGAGAAGAATGGAGATTGTTGGGTTTGAATGACATTTTCAGGTGCTTTATAGAGCTGCTATTATACAGTCCAGTCTGTTAGGTTGAAAGAAGAAAGCACATTTGTGGCAATAGTGATTTGTTTATCTGGTTACTGAGTTTTGTGAGGTTTTTTTACATTACCAGCCATTTAGAAATTGGTTCAGTTCCATCATAAAGTAAACCAGTTCTGTTTACCTAGGCAAGTTTTGCTTTACAGAAAAGTGCATTAAGTAGTATTTACACACTGACCAGCTTTATTCAGTACTTTTTGGGAAATGACTAAGTCAATTTGTCTACTTTTTTGTGAGAAATATTATAATGTTTTGTTAAAAGCTGGAATGAAACAATTTTTGGTGCCCGGAAAACCAGATTTGAAAGTGAGGCTAAGGTCCATCAGATAGTCTTAACTCAGTATGTTTGTAGTTTAATTTTTACCTTTATAGGTTAGCTTGAGAGAAGAAGTTATTTTGTAGCTGCAAGATTTTTTAATTAAAGGATCAGAGAGACAACAAAATTTGAGCATGATAAACAGCTTGATTTGCTTCAGTCATTAATAAATCTTCACTTAGTGACAGGTAAGCTTTATTAGAGTGAAGAGCAAGATACTTAATGTCTATGCCTCGATTCCTGAGGTAAATAGTACCGACAGAGAATTATTTTGAAATTGTGCATGTAAATTATTAGCAACTCCACGCCTGGTGTTGGTTATTAGCTCATAAGGGTGTTAACAAACACATAGCACAGGGAATGAATTTATGCTTACTAATTGATAGCCTCTTGGCACCATTCACATCAACACTCTTGACACCAGCAGTCAGGAAATCAAAAGATTAATTGCATTGGGAAAATCTGCCATCAGGGACCTGCTCCAGAGTGCTAAAGAGCAATGATGTCAATCTAGTGACTAAGGTGCATCCGACCCAGTCAGTTGTCTTCAAAGTTAGTTCCTATGCATCAGAGAGCTGGACAATGACCAATGATGACAGAAGAATTGATGCTTTAGGAATGTGCTGAACAAAAGTCTTGAACGTAACATGGACCACCAAAAAAACATGGATCTGTCTTGGAGAGGGTGAAACCAAGTTTTCTACTTGGAGGCTAGGATTTTGAAGCTCCATCTCACATAAGTTGGGCATGTGGCCAGGAGAGACCGGTCCTTGGAAAAGGACGTCATGCTCGGAAGGGTGGAAGGGCAGTGCAGGAGAGGATGAACCTGGATGAGATGGATTGGTATAGTGATGGGCATTGGGGTAGGTGTGTTGGAGCCAAACTGGCTCAGGACAGACTTCAGAGCTGCTGTACATAGGGTCTCAATGGGTCATAGGTGACTCAATAGCACTTTTCAACAAAACAATTGCTATCCGCTTCAGTGTTTCTTTTTTTTTTTTTTTTT